AGGTGAAGAATATACAAGATGTGACAACTATGATCACACTGATCAATTAGGTATTAGATTTTGGGTATATATATAATTTCTTTCTTGAATAAGCTATACATTTGTGATATTCATTACTCCATTTCTGGAATTAAAGATTTTGCTATAGTAATAATACAGATCTATTTCTAATTAAAAAAATGTTGGGGCAAAAATATTTTTATAATAAACATATTGACATATGTATGCATTTATTAATATATTTATCAATATATTAAATTTTTTTAAGACTTACTATTATAATTCTCTTCTATCTTTCTAAATAACAAAACTTGATAAAATTTGGGTATATTTTACAAAACAAAAAAGAGCAAAATGTAATAGATGTCTTTTTATATATGCTAATACAGTATTATAATGTGAAGAATATTTTAAAGTATGTACTAATACAAGTATTGAAATCTTGAAAGAATATTTTGGTGAAGAATTTGAATATTCTAGATTTGATGGTACTCAATATACTAATACAACAAATCAATCAATTATTTAATTTACCTAAAAGAAAAAACTTTTAACAAAATTTTTTAATAGAGTATATAAAGAAATAAAAACTGAGGTAAAACAATATATTAGTAAAGCTGATTATATTTGTATTATTACAGATAGATAGTAAATAAAACAAAAAATATTATAAAAAATTTGCTATAATTTTTAATAACTAATTAATAGTACCACAGGTCGAAATAAGAAATATTGGGCTTATATCAGCATTATTTAATCCTGATATAGGCCTGATATAAAACTGATGTTTGGCAGAAATTGAATATCAATCAGATACAAATCAGATTTAAATCAGTATTTAATAGCTATCGGAATACTGATAGCTCTATAAATTAATCAATAAAGCTATTAGTAAATTAATCGATAGATTTAATGATTAATTTATAGAGCTATCAACATTCCTATTGCTATTAAATACTGATTTAAAGCCAATTTGAACACAATTGGTATCTGATTTCTGCCAAATATCAGTTTTATATTGAGTCTATATTGGGATTAAATAATCCAATATGAGCCTAATATTTCTTATTTTAATCTGTATACTATAAAAACTATTTTTTATACTAGATTAATCTTATTTATACTTGTAATTAAAGTTGTAAAAAAAATCATTACAATTCTAATAAAGCATAGCAGACTTTTATTGCAATTAGCTAATTTTTGTAGATCATCTTGTGATCTTACAAAAATATTATTGGTTAATCGAAATAATTCGCAAAGCAATATTTTATACGAAACTAATTACTGTAATAACTAAATATTCAATAGTATATAAAATTAAATTGTATTAATAAATATATTATTACAAAATTTAACAACTCAAAGTCTAAAATCATTATCTTGATACAATAGAATTATATAATCCAAGATCTTATTTAAAAAAATATTATACAGATTAAAATAATAATAATAATAAACTATGAAAACAAAATAAACCACTTATTCCAAAAGATAAAAATAATAGTTAATTAATACCAAATGAATTAACTTTAATTCTAAATTAATAATCTTAAATATAATACTATACTTTAATAATTAGACATAATATTATATATATTTTAATAGACATAATACTATAAATACTTTAATAATCCTAGACGTAATATATACTATATTTTAATCTTCTATAAAGTTCGCAAGCTTGCTTCATGTTACTAATCTACTAGCAGTATATATCTATCTTTAAAATAATAAATAAAATAGATTAGTGATATAAATCTTTGAATTATTGTTATTTTACAACATTTAATATATACTGTAAATTGTATTAATTAAATTGAAATATTTAAATATACTTCTTATCTAACTTCTAAATTACTTGCGATTTACCAAATTACTTTGACAGTATATAAAATAAAGCTTGAGCTTTTAAATTTTTTTTGTCTTATCTTTGCTGAATTCATATTCATAGCACTAAATCCATTCTTGTAATAGCAAATTGTTGCTTTAATAAGATTTTAATATAATAAAAAGATCTTTAAAATCAACCAATCACAATAAAGCTCACTATGCTTTTTAATAGTAAAAAAAAATACTAAAATTAGCTTAGTAAATCACAAAATATTGGCAATTTATGTTTCATAATTATGTAAAAATTTTTTATTTGATTGTGAAATATAAATAATTAATATTTTATAATCTACTAAACTAATTTTAGTATTTTTACTACTATTAGAACTGCAATAATCTTCTTTATAACTTTCATTAGAAGCACAAATATAATTAACATAATGTGAAAATTAGTTTTTTATAGTATTATTAAAAATTAAAATTATTAATAATATATATTAATATATTATATTTAATTATAATTTATTTAGGTCTAATTTAAATAATGAATATTGGACTAATATACTTTTTACTATATCTATTCCTGTATTTATATTAGCTAAACCAACTAAAGAAATTTAACAAAATAAATAAATATAGCTAAAAAATTGAAAAGGCAATAAAATTAATTGAAATTACAAAGATTTTAACTATTATTACTGATAATATATCAGTAATAAAAGCTATATAGAGAATTTTAGAAAAAAATAGCTTTTTATTATTTTGGTTGTTTAGCTCATAGAATATATCTTTTAATTAGAGATATTATAAAAATTAATTGGACAAAAACTATTCTTAAAAATTTAAAAAAATTGTTCTTTATTTTTATAATCATATTATTCCAGGTGTTATTTTTAAAAGATACTAAAATCAAAATATGGTTCTAATTTTAAAGCATTAAAACTTCTAGTTAAAACTCATTAAAGATTATCAGCAAATTGTTTAGATTTAATATATAAAAATTAATTAGCTTTAAGTCTTGCAATTACTAAAATTTCTAATAATAATTTAATTAAATTAGATAATGAAATTAAAATAATTATTTTAGATAACAATTTTTGGAAAGAACTTAAGTATTTTTATATTTGTTAGAGCAACTTGCAACTTGTAATAAATATTTCTCTTTTTGAAAGTGACATACCAAAATTATTAAAATTTATGAATAGTATAATAATATTTTAGAATTAAATTGTAAGTAATTAATTATTTTAACAATATATTTAATCTAAATTATTAAAGTTATTATTTATTTTTAATATTATAATTTAAAATTTTTAAAATTATATAATACTATATATTAAAATTTTAATATATTTATATTAATAATTTATTTAATATTTTAGATATTTAACAACTTTTAGTAATATTTATAATAATATATTAGATATATTATCTAAAAGATAGACAAAAATATATCATCCTGTTTTAGAAGTTGCATATTTATTAGATCCTAGATTTGTTAGACGAAATCTTGAAGCAGATAAAATATTAGTTATTTCAGATTTTTTAGAACAATATTATTCAGATAATACAAAAATTATTTATATACAAATACTTTAATACAAATTACAAACTGGTCTATTTCAAAATCAACTTGCTTGGAAAACTATAAAAAATATTGATTCAATTACATGATAGCAAGGTAATTTTAAAATATTAGCTCCTGAACTTGATAATTTAGCATAATGAATATTTATAATTTCAACATCTTCAGCTTCTTCAGAATATAACTATAAACATGACAAAAAAAATAGATTAAGTTTAGATAAAGTTTTTAAACTTGTTTATATTTATAGTAATTATAAGTTAAAATTAATACAAAAAGAAAGAAAAAATAAAAATTTTGATAACAATTGTGATTTAAATACTACATTTGATAATTTAAATCAAAGTGATAGTAATAATGATATTTATAGTGATAAAGATATTTATAATAATGAAGATAAAAATCTAAAAGAAAATAATGAAGATATGAACAATAATAATTAGTTTAAATAATTTTTAAATTAAGAGATTTAAACATTTAAATATATATTTATTATGTTTTAGTTTATAAATATATAGTAATATATTATTAAAATTTTTTCCTTAATTATATTGAGATTTTTTTTCTCTTAATATATATATAATGGAGAAATTTATTTGTTGCACCCTGTTATGCTGCACATTTGTCACAGGTCACATGACATACATTCGGCCAATCAAATTAAAAATAACGCATTAGTATCACGTAACCAACCTTCATAATTTTTACATCAACATTACAATATTAAAATTTTATTTTATTAAAAGCATCGATCACACATAACAAATATTAAAACGTCATCGACAAATATTAAAACGTCGTCAAAGCCATTTTAGCTATAATACATTTATATACTAACTACTACCTCCCTAACCCAAACAATATCACGTAGTACACCATTAACAGTACAAAAACTATTAGCAACAGCGAAGTAAATAATGATAAGACAATGGCCATACTAATTATAAACCAGCATCCACAAAAGTAAACCATCAAGAAGTTAACAATGACGAAACCGCAGAACCGTATCACTTAGAGAACCATCAATGATATGAGAAAAGCGTTAGTTTAATGTGATACGCAACAAAGAGATCAAATCAACAAACCCAGTAGATATACTTACTCAAGCTAAAAGCCCAATTTCAAACAAAAAGAGCACAACAACCAGAAAAGAAGAAAAGAGCATTAGTATTTACAACCAAAAAATCAAAATAACAGACAAAGTAAATATACTCACCCAAACCAAAAGCACAATTGCAAAATAAAGACAAGCTGGAAAAAAGAGCAGAGTATTAGTACTTATCAACAAAGAAACCAAGACAACAAACAAGTAAGATAAATTTTCCACCAAGTCAAAATTCCAAATCTGAACAAAGAAAGCACAACAGCCGTGAAAGAAAAGGGCGTTAGTATTTCACAACCAAGAAACCAAAACAACAAAAATATAGTAAATAAATTTACCAAAAGCAGAATCTGGAGGTGATACTGAAATTGACATACCTACAACAAAATCACACAAGCAAAACAATGCCCACTGAAATCGATAACACCATGCCAACAACAAATTCACACAAATGAAACAAAGTCTACTGAAATCGACGACACCATGCCAACGACAAATTTATACAAGCGAAACAAAAGTACACCGAAATCGACAACATGACGCCAACACAAATTCACACAAGCGAAACAAAGTCTACTAAAATCGATGACACCATACCAATGACAAATTCACACAAGCAAAACAAAATCCACCGAAATCGATGATACGACGCCAACAACAAATTCACACAAGTGAAACAAAGTCCACTGAAAATCGACAACATGACGCCAATGACAAATTTACAAGTGAAACAAAGCTTACCAAAATCGATAACACAATGCCAACGAAGATTAGCTTGGCTCCAGAAACAATAACTTCAAAAGACAACAACTCCAAAAGATAACTCCAAAAAAGCGATGACTCCAGTAATGACACCTGGTTATATAAAAAAAAAGTTGGTTAGTAAAACGTACATGCAATAAAAACAAGCAAAAAAAAAAAAGAAAATTAATGATTATTATGATAATCATTGTTTATATATCGCACATGATCTGTGACAAAAATATCATGTAACAGGATGCAACAAGAATATTTATTCATATATAATTATATATATTTGTTAAATTATATTTTGTTAAATTTTATGTATAAATAAATTTTATTTTAAAATTAAATTTAAATACTAATACAATAACTAAAAGTTTAATATATAATATTACTAAGTTATTAAATAATCAATATAAAACCTAATATAAATTTTTTTTAATAAAATATATATAGTATATAGTATATACTATATATACTATATATACTGTACCAGAGTTCTGCATTTAATTTGATTTGATTTGATTTGATTCAAATATTTGATTTCAAATCAAATTCAAATATAGATTTTCAAATCAAATCAAATTCAAATTGAAAGATCAAATATTTGATTTGATTTATAAACATTTAAAATTTAAAGAGTTATAGTTTCAGAAGCTATTTTTTTAAAAATTTATTAAGATAATTGCTAATTTGGTTCTATGAAACTAGGGCTATTTCGATTAGATAAATATTTTTTTATTTAATATACAAAATTAATTTATTTAATTGCTGATCTGGATAAGATCGGCACAATTTCTATATTAGAATTTGGGCAAAATTCCTATAATATTAACTACTGTATATGCTGGAATCTGAGTGGAATCCAATGAAAAGTATTTTTTTATTAAGTTAACAACCAAAGTCAATTAATTAAAAGTTGTATAGTCACTAAGATGCATTTAATAGTAGTTATATTATCCAAATTGGCCTAGTAGATACTGAGATATTACTAAAAATGATTGGCTGACTATATAAAATTCTATGTAAACAAACTAGAAATTTTATATAGTTAGCCAATTGTTTTTAGTGATATCTCAGTATCTACTAGGCCAACTTGAATGATCTAACTATCATTAGATGCGTCTTAGTGAGCTCTACAATTTTTAATTAATTGACTTTGATTATTAACTTAATAAAAAAAAAAATTTTTCATTGGACTCTGCTCAGATTCCAGCATATAATAAAAATTTATATTGTACTTATCCCAAAATTTACTATTGTCTCAATATACAGTCAGACCTCTGTATAATCACAAGTTGGTCGCGCCCTAATGTGGTGATTGTATAGAGATGTGACTATAAACAAATTCAGATGAATATTACATGATCTTCAGCCAATCAATGATTAATTGATAATTCATTAGTCATGATCGTCCTACATCTAAAAGTTTTTTTTTTTTTACTAAGTTAACCACCTTTGGGTCTCTAAGTAAAGTTGTAGAGCTCATTAAGACGAATCTAATGGTGGTTAAATCATCAAAATCAGCCTAGTGGGTGCTGAGATATCTTCGAAAAACGTTTCGCCGACTATATAAATTCTTTAAAGAATTTTTCTATAGTCGGCAA